TTTTGTTATGTAATATATAATTTTTCGTAAACTATCGAATAATTCGTAAACTAGAAAAATGGTTTAGGTCAACAGTCATAATTTTTTTTTATAACTATAACAAAAAGTATTTTTTACATTAATTACATTCATGTATAACAATTTAAAAGTTATTTAAAATATCCTGTTTCTTAAAAACTTTTTTTTCGATTAAAGCATGAGAAAAAATCGCTTAATTTTGTCCTTTAATATAAGTTTTCAAAAACTATCAAATAATTAAAAATTACTAAAAAAATGGTATTCGCTAAATAGCAGTACTATTTTAATAATTATAATAAATAATGAGTGGAAAATTAGACAAAAACATATGACATTAAAGTATCCGTATCATAAACAGAAATGTATTATTGCCTTCTTCCTACCACTCCCTACGTAGGAGAGAAGAAAGAAAGCACTCAAGTTACTCTTAAAACAAGCCTTGCTGAGTATAAATTATTAAATTGCCTATAACTGCAGCTTATAAAGAGAAACTGATTGCAGATTTGAAATCAACGATGCAAAAGTATCTAAGATCAGTTCAAAAATATATTTCTCGGTGTAATTATGCCAGCAACAATATAAGTTGTTCGGCATGTTTTATACAGGGCTGCCAACTTTTTATGACTTTGGGGAATATTTCTTCTAGTGGTTCATGTATTCTTCTTTGCTTAGTAAATTTGATTATTTAAAGTTACGGTACATGCAAATTATTCAAAAGTTCATATGAAACACTACTTTGTTCCAACTCTCTCGTAGGTTTTGTGGTAAAGCTTTTAAAATATTCGCAAATTGAGAAATATTCTGAAAGCATTTGTTAATTGGTTACCACTATAAAATACTTTGCAAAATGTGCCATAATTGGCTGCCCTGTCCTTGTGATATTATTATTTTATTCACATTTTTAGTAACAAAGCAAACTAATTCAAAATAATTAAGTTCTTAATAAACAATATCTCAGTTTCAGTGGAAGACTTTTCTTGAATATTTAAAGTGGTAGTAAATTTATACTACTTTACTATTATATTTTTGGATAACAAAATTTAATTTAAAGTGATTTTGGTGACCATTAAATATAAACAGTTATATCAGATATGCAGGAAAGGTTTTCAGGGTGCCCTAAACATCTGAAGTATCAATTGTTGTAGACAAAATGAACGGACTTATTAACACGTTCACGCCGGGGTGACCCACCGGTGGTCACGCTAGATTGTCTCATCGGGCGGCGCACCAGAGTAAAAACTGGTTACAAATAAATTTCATTTTTTAGTTTCTTTCCGGGAATAATAAAATCCATAACTACCAATTGTTTTTAACGGATGCAATTTTTATATTGAATTGCTTCTTCGCATTGATAAATTTCCCTACAGTGAATTGTTAATGTTGAGAATAGATTAACTCCTCCCGAATATTATCTTTATAACTAATATTGAAGTAGTTCTTCTACCAGTATTTTCTCTTTTCCGTCCCGCTTTCAGGCGCAACACCCGGCGTGAACGTGTTAATGTTGAAGTCTTAAATGTTTTTCAATACTTTATACAGCTCGGAAAAAAGTAGACCGCTGATAATAACTTATTAACTATTAGTCGGATTTTCATTCTGTTTAAGTGCTATAAAAATATCTCGAAAAAGAAGCGTTTAGGATTGTGTGTAACAGCTAACTGTAACCGTGGCAGTGCTTACTATGATTCAAAAACGCACTATATGCTTTTTTTTTTTTTTTTTTTTTNTTTTTTTTTTTTTTTTTTTTTTTTTTTTTTTTTTTTTTTTTTTTTTTGTATTTAAAATTGGTGAGAGGTAGGCAAAGATTTGTAAAATTTATAGTTTAGTCACTTTTATAGTTTAATCACTTATATACTTAATCTTTTATAATTTAATCACTTATACGAGTAATTCAAATCTTATGCAATTTTCATGTACCATATTTTTCTCTATTTTTTTAGAGGTTTGTTGTGTTGAATTCGTTGCTCGTTTGCTCGAAGTTACGAGCTCCGCTCAAAAAACGAATAATTGCAATATAAGATGAGAAATGGAGGTAAATAAATTATTTTTGTTAATTAATTTCCTGATCATTTAAATTTGTAGCGGTCAATGTTANCCCGAATATTATCTAATATTGAAGTAGTTCTTCTACCAGTATTTTCTCTTTTCCGTCCCGCTTTCAGGCGCAACACCCGGCGTGAACGTGTTAATGTTGAAGTCTTAAATGTTTTTCAATACTTTATACAGCTCGGAAAAAAGTAGACCAATGATAATAACAAACTAAGGTAAACAACGTTTAGGAGCACCGTTTTGTTTTCACTGATAATAACTTATTAACTATTAGTCGGATTTTCATTCTGTTCAAGTGGTATAAAAATATTTCGAAGGAGCGTGTAGGATTGTGTGTAACAGCTAACTGTAACCGTGGCAGTGCTTACTTTGATTCAAAAACGCACTATATGCTTTTTTTTTTTTTTTTTTTTTAAAAATTNTTTTTTTTTTTTTTTTTTCTTTTGACAAATTAACATTTATTTATTTATTTTTTTTTTTGTTTTTAAAATTGGTGAGAGGTAGACAAAGAGTTGTAAAGTTTATAGTTTAGTCACTTTTATAGTTTAATCACTTATATATTTAATCTTTTATAATTTAATCACTTATACGAGTAATTCAAATCTAATGCAATTTTCATGTGCAATATTTTTCTCTATTTTTTGCGAGGTTTATTGTGTTGAATTCGTTGCTCGTTTGCTCGAAGTTACGAGCTCCGCTCAAAAGAAAATAATTGCAATGTAAGTTGAGAAATGGAGATAAATAAATTATTTTTGTTAATTAATTTTCTGATAATCTAAATTTGAAGCGGTCAATGTTAAAAAGGGGCAACATTTTTATGAAAATAAGTTTTTTGTCGGTTTTGGAATATCAATCACCGATTATCATAACCTATTTATTATTACCTATTAACCTGTTATCATCGATTATCGTATACGGAGCAGTTTTCTAGACTGCCTAAAGAAGAGAATCCAACAATTTGGAATCAATTAAAACAATCTTTCCACATTTGCCGTAGTTTTTTGGGTTTTTCGCGAAAGTGCAGATTTGTAACATACTCTCTTTTAGCAATGATCACTTCAATTTTTGAGTTGTACCATATAAAAGTGTTTCTGTACTCAAAATTTTCAAATTTCTTAAAACTCATTTTTGTTATTCATGCCCTTTTTTAAATTATCGTTAGTTTGATAGTCATTGAAAAGTAATATAAAAAATTTTATAATTTTTTATTAAAAGGGGAAAGCAAATATCATGATTTCGTTGCTTGATTTCATTACTTCAAATTCAGCGTCATTCGAATTAGCCTACAAACAAAAGAGTTCATCCTTTTTTTAAATCACTTACATGTAAAAATTAGGAAGCGTCCTAAGGAATAAAATTGGAAGATATTTACTTACATGTAAAAATTGGGAGATGAACTATTTTTAAGCAGTTTTAAAGGATAAAATTGGAAGATATTTTTCTGTATTTTATTTTAGATTTTATTTTTATTTTTTAATTTGTGCTTTTTATTCCTAAAATATCATAACCACTAACCGAAACCACTAGTCGAAAATCCTTTTAAAATTTTTTTTTTTACTCACGGCTATGCCTCATAAATTCATCGTTATTTCCCGAAATTAAAATAAGATTTACAAAATTTCGTAAAACTAATAAAAGATAAAGAGTTTTCTAATAATTACGGCTTGATCTGGAAACTCAGGGATCTCAGACACTGAACTCTCAGAGGCCCTATTGCGGGTTACCTTAAACTATGTATAAAATGTATATTTGTTACCGTGAATATACCGAAATTGGTGGTGGTTGCCAATCACATAATCGCTTTGGTAAATGTTCGAAACTTGGCGAACAAACTTGGCTTGTTCGAAACTTGGTATTCTTTGGCCAAGGTTCGAAATATATACTAGGTCTAGTTAAGTACCACTGCCCAGTAAACATTTGCCCAATATACCCTGCACAGATGTATTTTTAAGGTTCAGTAACCAAACTTAACAGCATGATACTGTGTAGCATGCAGTCATTAAGAGCTTTTAAAAAAGATTAGAACAATAAATAAAATACATTATGTTTAAAAAAAATTAAAACTTTAAAAATAAATATGGAACATTAATAGAAAGTAACCTCAACAATTTCTTTGAAACTATTACTACATAAAATAGTTATATTTATATTTTAAAAGATGAACTTCTCTTTATACTGCTTTTTTTTTATGCCATGCTAGGATAGTTTCTGTTAATATTGAATGAACTTTTAAATGTGGAAAAAAATCAGCAATATTAAAATAAATAGTTTTGAAATCATGATCTCAGATTGAGTATTTGTAGAATTTTCATAACAATGTTTTTGTTTACAATATCAGAAAGCACTCTTCTTTGCGGATACAATCGTGTGGGCTGATGAAAAGATTATATCTTTTATTTTCCGGATTTTTTTTTAAAAAAATTTATCCTTTTTTTTTCTCCCCAGTTCATTTTTCATTCTCCCCAGTTCATTTCTCCCCATCATTTTTCTCCCTCCCCCCCTTTTTTTCCCTTCATATGTCTGTAATTTTCCTTTGTTTTATCTTCATTTTGAACTTATCTAATGAATTCTGTTTACTTGCAGCTTAATAATAAACGAAAATTGAAAACAAATTTCTTATCACTTATAAACAAGTTATAATTTTTTTTTTTTTTTTTTTTTTTTTTAAAGTAGCAACGGATTAAAAAAAAAAAGTAATGCTTTTAAATCCATACAAAAGGCTTGTAAAAATTCCACTAAGGTTAAAACATTCTACTTCAGTTAGTTCACTGTTACTTGATGGAATATTTTTTACAAACGTACGTTTTGCCAATAAACTTCGAAGAGCATGAGCAGATAAATTTGGCTGCATTGTTCTAATCTTTTTTCTTTGATGATTTTTCCCTCAAAAAAACACCCCCACCACTCTAAGTACCACCTACCCACTCCTCCCTCACAGGTTAAAAAGTCCAAGAACTTGCATGGAATTCTCATTCTTCTCGTCCGCATTATCAGAAAGGAGTTGGAAGTGAACGGCGCAATATTTGGCGCCCTCATCCATCCCCCCTCACCGGCAACCCTTGAATGTCCGAAGAAGAAGAAAAAACTCGAAGTGTGTGTTGTTGGTAGAAGATCTCAATAATCATCAGTTGACAGAGTATAGAAGGAATAATACAGACCCGCTGAGTGTTTCCACCGCGGGGACACTGACATGTGCTCACTGTTTCTTCTGCTGACTTTTCTGTTCTCCATATTTTATTTAACAGAAGGTAAGTTCCATATTTATTCAATCACTGTTTTGTTTTCACGTTTTAATGCCGGCTAATTTAACTATTATTCCATAACTGCTAACTTTTGCAATTATTTATTTGTTTTGAGGGACTTAATTCCTTGCGGGAATCAAATTAGAATTCCATAGAATTTTTTTTTAGTAGAATTTTTTTTTAATCACATTAGCACAAAAAAGCCGTATTCGGTGATGCAACCTGTGCCTAAAAATGTGAAAAAGGTTTCGCCAATTTTAAAGTAGAAATCATGAAAGAGATATTTAAATAAGCAAAACATCCTCACTTAATTCTTTCGTTTTATTATTAAAAAAGAATATTCCGAGGTTTGGCGGTTGACATCTCTGAAATTGTTATTAAAAGGGGAAAGTTGTTGTTGTTGAAGACAAGGAACGCGATTGTTCTTGTTGGAAAAGTTATTAATAAAAGGGAATTTTGAAAGAAAAAAGGAATTTAAACTTTTACCACACTTTTATTTTTGGGCAATAATAATTACGCCCACGCTTTAAAAGAGTTATCAAGAGATAACTGCAATAAAGCTGCATTTTATATGGTACTTTGAATTTTTGATATATTTAGTGGTGGAAAAATTACTTTAAATGAAAAATACTAAATTAGAAATAACTTAAATTTCGTTACCACTAGAAAAAAACTTTTACGAAGTGTTTTTGTCACTTTTTGTTACCACTAGAAAATAGCATTTTCTAGTGGTAACAAAATTTAAGCTATTTTTAGTTTAGTATTTTTCCTCCTAAGTAACTTTTCCACCATTGTATATCAAGGATGAATAAGTATCATATCAAATGCAACTTAGAAGCATTTATCTTATGGTGACACTTTTATTAAAAGCTAGAGCATTTATCCTTATTCAAGTTTTACTATATAAATTGCTACCAATTTATTAAAACTTTTGCAGACAGCAAAGCACTGGGCATCCCTGTTATATGTATGAAAAACTACTATCTGAAAAAAAGGGGTAGTACATATTAATTTACACAAAATGTATATTTATTTCTTTTAGCTACTTTGAGCTTAAAAAAGTAACGTGCCTTACTTCAGATTTGTTTATTTTATTAATATAGTATTATAGACAGAACTACCTTGTTTCTGCAAAATTAATTCTGATGCAATGAACCATTTGTGCTATCATTTTTATCTTTTTTGAAAAAAATAATTGTTCTTTTTAAAGCGCGATAGGCACAAATGCGTTAACCCATGACTTCAAATATTAAATTTGTTCTAAACTGTCCACTTATGGTCAGTTTAGGACACTTTAGGAATATTTTTAGTCAGGAAATCTCCTTTGTTCCTTCTAAAATCAATTTAGAACGTTCAAAACTTAAACCCTGACTGCTATATCAAAGGACAAAATAAAAATTAATTTATATTTTGAAGTAAACTTGAAATATTGTAAACGTCTTATATGTATTGGTTAAGCAAAAATGTTTATGAGTGTTGGCGAAGTAGCTGAATTTTTAGAAAATTCTTCCTACTTCAATTATTATTTTACAACCACTTTGTAAAATTTATTCCAAAGTTGGCAACTATAATTTTGGGAGTTTTTATGCTTTAAGAATCCTTTAACAGCGCATCTTGATTTTAACACATTGCAAGCGAGTCACGTAAAAACACATAATTTGTGCAATCCATACAAAAGTTTAAAAAGTGGTAGCAAAACTACTTTGTTTTCGTTCTGTTTTTCAAAGTAATTATCCATTCGTGATAATTATAAACATAAATGATTCAGTATATATGTAATCTGCATTACAATTAATTTTTCGTAGTAAAAAAAAATTTTTAAATTGAACCTGTAGCTATTCGTGACAAGTTTGCTCCAACTTTCATGCCTACCACTTTTTTAAATTTTAATCTCAAACAGCTGTAATATTTTTTTTTTTTTTTTTTTTGAAAAGTTGCTTACATGTAATGTCTTGATACTTGCTATTTAACTGATATAAATGTTTTTAATGAAATATTTTAAAATAGTAAATTACTACTCTTTCTCCCTTTTTTTTGAAAAGTTGCCTACATGTAATGTCTTGATACTTGCGATTTAACTGATCTGTTTTTAATCAAGTATTTAAAAATCCCACTGGGAAAAATGTTTTACTAATGTTAACTTCTATGAAAGTGATAGCAAGATTTACGTTTTTATTTTGTTTACTTATCTATTTATTCACTGGCATATTGCCCATTCTTTGTGAAAAAATGAATCAAAATTATTACTGAAAAACAAATACCGACACAATTCATAAAGCTGAAATAATTCTAATGTTTTTTATTTATTTACTATAATTCGTTGTCCTTTCCGGTGACTTTACGTCATTAGATTTAGCAAAACACGTTTTTAGTAGCTCATCCCATCAAAATAAAGATTGACTACTGAGTATTGGTGCAGTTTTAATAGACACCATTTTTACTTTTAGAATATCTTGTACCTATACTTGGTAGCTATTAAAACTTCACCAATTATCATAATACGAGTAGTGCATGTTACCAAAAGTAATTCTTGGTAATATACACTGCTCGTATTATGATAATTGGTGATTGTGGTTGATAACTGGTGATCATCATTGATGTCAATAATGCATGACAATTTTTACGTTTCTCCTAAACGAATTAGTATCATTCCTCAATTAATTTGGCTTCTAAACAGGGTTGGGGTTTTGGACAGGACACGTGGGTTTTACTGTCTTAAACTGGGTAAAACTGTCCTAAACTGGGTAAAACTGTCCTAAACTGTCTTAAAGTGTCCAAAACCTTGAACTTTGGTAAAAGGTAAAAATTCTATAGGTGTAACCATTGTACACATAATAATTACATGTATCAATAAATATTTGATATTTTTTATACAATTTACTATAACTTATTAAAAGAAAATAATATAATATAATAGGAAAAGGTTTATAATTTTTGAAGCTCCACAATTCATTGAACAACAAAAGTGAATACCTAATCCTTTAAATATAAATATGCTTTTAATACTGATAAATAATATTTTTGCATAAGGATAAATATGGTAATATTAAAAAATTATAATTTTTCTTTAAAAAAATACTAAATTTGTTCAGAAATCAACCTTTTATTTTTCACAATATTTTTTAAAAATTTTTTTATAATTTCTGCATCACAGGATGATAAAAACGACATCTATTTAAAAAAAAATTGTTTTTAAATATAAATATATTAGTTTAAATTGAAAATACAAAATAACTGAAAAATGTATTAACAGTTTTGAAGGGCATAACATCAGTTTCAGTTACTGACACTGGTGATGTATCACCACTATGCTAAAAGAATTGAACATGAATGAAATAAAAAATTTCTTGAATAGTACTATAGATAAATAAACCTGTTTATGATGATTATATTTTATATTTTAACTAATATTTTAACCTGTATGACAAGGCCAAACTTCAGTTATATACTATTGAATGAGGGGACCAATTATACTTGATTACTGATTTATCTTCCTTTGTTTGAATTGAAGAGTCAAACAATATTAATAAAACATTATACTTTTAAAAACAAATATTCTCTAGTATATTTAATTATAATCAATATGTTATTAGTTCTATGTTTATTTTGTCTCTAAATATTGTTCAGATAAAATTGTGACATAATTTGAGTAAAAGGGTTTTGGACAGTTTTAGACAAAGGGGTTTTGGACAGGATCGTTTAAACCAGGGTTTAAACCGTGGATTAATCCATTCTGTTCTAAACCTTGCCAACCCTGCTTTTAAATAATCATTGACTTATTTTGCTATTTCAATTAGCACTTTATGACCAAAATTATTTGATCATCATTGGCGTATAAAACGGTATGACGATTTTTTTTACTTTTCTCCTAAAGGATTTGTATCATTCTGCTTTAATTTGGTTTTTAGTACAATAGTTTTTATTTATTTATTTATTTTAATTTTTTTTTTATTGCAATAAATGTCAGGGCGATAGCTTAAACGGCTCTTGAATTGTAAGGGAGACACGCAGACAGACGAACTCTTCCTACTATTATTAAATTTATTAGTCTCATTAAATTTATAATAATAATGAATACTAATAAATATTAATAACTCAGATGGCACAATGATAGATCAGATATCGTTAAGTATCCTCTCACCCTCTTTTTTATTTACTTATTTTATTTATTACTTATTTTCATTACTCAGTGAGACTTTTTTTTTTGACCCGCAAAATGAGTACCATGAATTTGCTTTTATTAAAAAGTAATTGGAAATTATTCACTATTAGAATATGTAAATATTTTATTCTTTAAACTATCACGTAAGCTATAAAACATCGCCGTCTCATAACTTCAGATCGAACAACAATTATTAATTTTAATATCGTATTTTTATCAGAACTTTTCAGATTGCGGTGATAAGAAAGGAGCCTTTATCAAATAAAATTCCGTAAAAATTGTTCAAAAAAGTACACGATGTGAATTTCGCGTCACTTTTGTTGTAAAACAAAGGGAAAAAACACATAGTAATAGTTGATAGAACAGACTTATTAAAATAACAACGCGTTTTCATAGCTGAGCAATATTTCAACATACATTGTTAATAGGCGTTTGTTAATAGAACTGAAATTCTAGTATGTCACTTTTTGTATTTTCATTTGTGTTTTATTCACCTTGTTTTTGATTTAGTCATAAATGCTTTGAATTTACAACAGTTGTTCGTGATATTAATTGGTCAAACTTAGTCTATCTTTAGCTTGCACCCTCTATGCTAATTTTTAAAATGGCACTAAACGCCAAAATGAAGAAAACCATAGTTTAGTGAAAATGAAGAAGTGAGATCTAATTTTTAAACGTTTGAAAATTAACTCCAACACTAAATTATCTAGGATTATCCAGAATTATTCATTGATTTTGATAATTTTCACCGAGATGCAAAAATCTAGCCGAAATCGTGATTAAAAAAAAAAAAAAACATCAATAACTTTTAATGCATTTAAATTGTGACTTTTTCGTATTTTCC